TGCACAGGGTTGCCAGGTTTACCAAGTAAAAATACAGAAAATCCAGTTAAATTTGAATATCAGGATAAACATAACCACACAATCAATATGTGTGACATAGTCACACTAAAAACAAATATTTGCTTTTATCTCAAATACCCACCAAATATCAATTAATAATATTAAATAGCTAGACAATTTTCCTCTTAGCAATTAAAGATACTAATCATACTATTTTACATTACAGTTCTAATATTGTAAAATTAATACTTACCTAATTTACAGATATTTCAAAAGTAAGTCTGCCATTTACCAAAGTTAGCATGCTAAGTATAAAAAAGAACTGAGTCTGTTTGAGTAAGACACTATGGAAATACTTTATAATTAACTCTTGAAAATAAGGACTGTTTTTTTGTACTGCATTATGTCCTTCAGGAGAGAAATTACTGTCAGGTGCAGAGGATATCCCAAATCATAGAACTCAAAACAGCTTAATTCAACATAATAAGATCCACATACATGATTTTTCTTTTACTAGCCTGATTAAAGTATCCTCACAGTTCTTGGAAGAATGTAGAATAACATGATTTTGTAGCACCCAAAGACAGCTAGATAGACCATGTGCCACACAGATTTCCCTACTGCTGTTAAATTGTAAATGTTAGTTCAAAATAATTTTCAGTAAAACTTTATAAAAATTAATTTAATGTTCACTAATTGAGGTCCCGGATGTATGGTGTTTAAAAATTCCCATCTTCACCACACACTGGATAGCTGCCAAAAAAATTAATTCCCAACTTTCTAAATTACAGGGTGCATCCTAGAGCAAAATCATTTTAATAATTTCTATTTGGTTTTCCTGTATGTTAAATAGGAATAGCATTGGTACTAGTAAACATTTGTACCTACAATATGCAAAGGAATATTCTAAGGATGGAAATACCGTGGTGCTTAAGCAAGATTTCTATTTCCATATTGGACTTATACATAAATTAGATGGCAAATAATACTAAGATAAAATAGGTGTAAAGTGCTTAAAATATTGAAATTCTAAAGAAATAAAATGTGCCCAGAATCATACTGAAATATTAAATCTTTACCTAAAATGTACATCTAATTGTGTTGGGGGTAGGGGGGCAGAAAGAGCTGGCTGGTACAGGGTTGCTGCTCATCTAATTTAAAACTTTCATACAAAAGAAACAAAAACCAATGGTCACTAAACTTAAGAATAAGCAAGTTAGGTGCCAGAAAGTAAGGACATGCTCAAAAGAATGATGGAGATACGTCAAAAGGACACAGACACCTAGTTAATGGGCTCCCATTAGCCAAATCTGAGACATTTTGAGCTTTAAAATAAATAAATACAAATATAAGCCATTAAATGAAATAAAAATGTATGAGACCAAAATAATACAAGTAAATAAAAGAATTAATTAAAAATTATACTGAGGAATGGGATATTTGCACAGTTTAAAATTACCTCCCCACAAAAACTTTCCAAATTTAACTGCAGAATAAAATAACTGAGATTAAGAAAAACATGCAAACTCATTTCATTTCTGTAATCTATTCTGTATCAATCAGTAAGTTGGGTTTTCCCTTGCATATTCATTAAAATTAAAAGTACATAGCTATTAAGATCAGACAATCTTTAAATGTTAGAACTCAAATCAGAAAGGTTAAGTAAAATTACTGTTTTTAAATCTTCAGATCTCTAATTCCAGGCTAACAATTGAAAAAGATATAATAATACTGCATTGTTAAGGACAAATTCATCTATATAAATATGTACGGAAATTTGAAGAAGGCACAACAGATTATGTACAATGTTACACCAAGCAAGGCAGCTGGGGTGCAAAGAGGTTAATGGGTAACTTTGATGTTTTGTTCCATATACTTCACAATAGTCGAAAACTTACTTCGAAATGTTTCATGTATTACATGCAAAATGAGAAACATGATGCTAGAAATAGAGCAAAACAATAAAGTCAAAGAAAATAGAAAGATGATATTTTAAAAGCTATTACTACTACAGTTGTACAATGTGTCGGAGTTCTTATCCAATGTAATAAGATAGAAAAATAAAGATGGAAAAAGTAAAAAAGTATCATGATTTTCAGAAAAATATATTCTACTGAGAAAAATCCAACAAAATTTACTGAAAAACTATTTGATCTTACAAGAGTCTTGCAAAGCAGGAAGATATAAATTCCACACAAAACAATCAATAGTTTTGCCACACCCATGACAATAACTAATTATAAAATGTAATGATTCCTAGATGCAAAACTTCTATAATGTAAAGATGTCACCTCTAACTGCATTAAAATGTAATTTCAATGCAATCTAAATAAAAAAACTCTACAGAATTCTTTATATAAAGCAAGAGGGTTACTATAAATCACAGTAGCAAGAAAAGTTTATGAAAATGAACAATAAATTATGTTATGAAGCTAAAGTAAGTAAAATAAGCATAATGATGGTGAAGGGTGTTGTTTTATTTTTACGTTATATTAGAGAAATTTCTTAAGATACACAAAAGGATAGAAAATGCAATCATGAACCACCTACATGGAAATAACCTACCTTCAATAATTATTAATACTTTGAAAATTTATTGAATCTATCTCATTGTGCTTTGTTTTTGACAGAATATTTTAAAGAAAATTAGAAATATCATGTCATTTCATCTGTAAATACCTCAGTATGAGTTCGGGATATGTGCCTAAGAGATAAAAATGTTAAAAAATAGAACTACAGCACAATTACACACCCAGCAAATTAATAATACTTGAAAAATATTGTGTAATACCCAGTTGTGGTCAATTTTCTCCAATTCTCTCTTTATACTTTGTTTAAATCAGGGTCCAAACAAAGTTCACACACTGCATTTACTTGATGTGTCTCTTGTCTCTTGTAATTAACATAACCATCCCTCTATTTTCATTTGTCATCTATTTGTTCTATTGCCAAACAAACCCTCTCCTACTGCTAGATTATTTAACAGCAAATTCCAGACAAGTGTAAATAGTTTTTATCACTAAAAAATAAGGAGTTTCAACTCTTTATCCTCATCTAATAAGTCAAATGTAAAAATCTCACCACTTGAATATAAAATATCTTTTTATACTTGGTTTGTATGAAAAAAGATTCAATTGAGGTCCATACTTGGTACTTAAAGGAGACTTTGGAGAGTATCATATAATATATAACAGTTCACATTTCCCCCACCACACACCACCCTTTATTTTCCTGTTACAATTATTTGTTAAAGAAAACAGGTCACATTTTTAATATAAAACTTCCCACATTTTAGAGTAGGCTAGTTGCATTTTCATGATGTTAACCTACCTACCTATTTCTGTGTTTTCTTTAAAGTGCTAATCATATCCAGAAGCTGAATTATACTCAATTAACTTAGAGGGCTGAGTAAGAGAATTTCATAGATGATGTCATATACACCCTATTGCATCTCAAAGCACGTAATACCTCACTGTTTCAGTTTAGTAATGTTAAGATTCATCAGCTAAAACCAGGCACAGATGATTATTGCATACGTCCAATATTTCATTAGGGGTAGCAATTTAATGATTCTTAAGATTCTTTTCTTAACTTTTTAAGAAAATGTTTATAAAAAACTTTTAAAAGAATGTCTTAAAATTCTTTTATTGAACTTGGTTTATGGTGGAATTCTTCAACAGAAAAATTATTCCTCAGTTGTTTGGTTGTCTTATTAACTTGATACAAGAAAGGGTAAATGCTGGATACTTTCCCTTTATTAATCAGTTTTCAGAATAATGAGTCAGTAAACAACCTACAGTAGTTCCCGATACCTTTTTCTTTTCCTTAGGAATTATTATAAACTCATAGATTCTTATACATTTAAAATATTTCATTCTATTATACCTATTTACTTTGGTGGAATTTTAAGAGAAATAGCACTTTACACTATTGGGAAAGGATGGACTATCCCATAAATAGAGTAGGGTTAATAGGCTCTGTCTTAGAATACGTATATACAGTGGTATACTGGTAAATACAAAATCACTGGCTCAGTGAAACAAAAGGATATTCGGGATTTTAAGCTATTAAGATAATATACAGTATCTATCATGTGATAATTTCAGGCCGGCCTGTGGCTCACTCGGGAGAGTGTGGTGCTGATAACACCAAGGCCACGGGTTCAGATCCCTATATAGGGATGGCCAGTTAGCTCACTTGGGAGAGCGTGGTGCAGACAACACCAAGTCAAGGGTTAAGATCCCCTTACCGATCATCTTTTTAATAAAAAAAGGAATAATAATTTCACGTGAAGCACTTAGCCTGGTGCCCAACACAAGTACTCAGTAAATTATATACACGATGTGTGTGCTCATGCACATGTGCATAGTTATGTGCTGATAAATATTTAAAAACTGGCTCTCTGAGGAAAAAATAGCCCTGATTTGTAGTGTTTGTCAATTTTCACAATAAGATACTCCCACCATGGGTGATTTCACATTACCAATGTGATGTCACTAAATGCAGTGTTCAGGGAAGACATGCACAACTGGTTCTCACTAGACATTGTGATCTGCTCCAGTATGTCCATATCCATTATGAAACTAAACTACTTTTGTGTATATGAGAACATGTCTGTGCTTGTATGTGCGTGTGTGTTACATATTAATGTGTATAGAATCAAAAGGCATAGTAAAAGATCTTAAGAGACAGGTATCTAGTGAATGACAGTGTTTTTCTCTGGGGCAAGAAATGGTATTAGGGTGAGAGGAACAGTATAAACAGAACATTTTCCTCAAAATTCATTAATTTTTTTCACAATAAGGTGTTCATCTATTGCTTATGTATTTATTGGGTCAAAATGGGATTTTTTTCTCTTAATTATCTAACCCACTCTATCACAGAAAGCAATATTTTCTCACTAACATTAACATTTTGCTCCAATGTAATGTAAGTGACCAGCTAGATGAGATGTCATATTACACAAAGAAATCACCTCCTGAAAAAAATATACAACTTACTTTGGCTTCAGTTTCTCCCCTGTGAAGAGTGTACAGATGGTGGACAGCACTTTGTGAAGAAGACCAAGGATGAGTCAGAATTTGGAAGACATGAAAATCATGGCCAAGGGTGTCTGACGTAACTAGAAGCATTCCTGGAAGAGAAAAAACACAGGGAAAAATTGAAATGATTTTGTATGCGGATTAAATATTTTTTAAAACTACCCATATTTTAAAATATTACCCAAGGAAAAAAATTACCAAGAGTAAGAAATTTACCAAAATGGAAAAATTAAAACAAAGTATTTTCCCATGAATACCAAACATAATGTTACATCAGTGTACCGGCAAGGTGTAAACATTAGATGTACAGGTATTTCTGTATGACTAGCAGAGAGAAGTTTTATGCACCTGATTTTATAGAGTTCGCAATCATTTTTTAAAACACAGTTTGGTGTTTTAAAACACAGTTGGTGAGAGCACAGTGTTATAACACCAAGGTCAAGGATTTAGATCCCCATACTGGCCAGCCACACCAAAACCAAAAGAAAAAAACCAACAGAGTGTGAAAATGACATACCTCCATAGAACTAAAACCCATTCCCTCTTTTTGCCATTTCTCCAAAATAGAATTCTAAGTTTCAATTTATCTACTAATCCAACTACTAACTCCCCCATTTAATTTACCAGTTTAAAACTTGTTTCTACCCTGGTAGATTTATTGAATCTGCCTATAATGCCTTTCACAGAGCAAGTTCTTAATTTTGATGAGATGTCATAGCTAAGAATTCTTTGCCTAACCCAAGAGACAAAGACTTTCTATTTCCAAAGTTTTATGTTTAAAAGTTAGGTCTACCATCCATTTTGAGTTAACGCTTATATAAGGTGTGAGCTATTACACAAGGTTAACTTTTTGCATATGATGTCCAATTGTTCCAGCAAGATTTCTTGAAAAGACTATTCCTTCTCCATTGAATCAACATTGTCAACTTGCCAGAGATCAATTAGCCATATTTGTGTAGGTCTATTTTTGTAAGTTCTATTCTGTTCCATCGATTTCTATGTCTTTACTTTCATTAATACCACACTCTTGATTACTGTAACTTTATAGAAAACTTTGAAATCAGGTTGAGTCCTCCTTTTCTGACCTTCAGCATTATTTTAACTATTCTTGTTCCTTTACAGCTCCACATATAGAATCACCACTTTGATATCCACACTCAAAAAAATGCTTGGATTTTTTGGTGAATAGTATTAAGTCTATGAAATTAATTTAAGGATAAGTGACATCTTGAGTCTTCTGATCAATGAACACAGCATACTTCTTGATTTAGATTCATTTTGACTTCTTTTCCTTGTTGTTTTGCCCACTGACTTTGAATATATATTTTTAGATTTATTACAAATGGCTGTTTTTAATACTTCAATTATCAATTTTTCTTTGGTAGGATATAGAGTTAAAATTGATACTTTTTACAATGACTGTGTATTGTGCAAGTTCTAGGAATTTTTCCGTAGAGAATAAGAATTTTCTTTAATGACAACTATTTAGTCCAGGAATAGACACAGTTTGATTTCTATCTTTCCAATCTACATGCCCTTTCTTCCATTTTCTCATATTTGCTGAGGCGAACAACTGTGGTGAGAAGAGATATACACGCCTTGTTTCATGTCTTAGTGGGAAAGCATTCAATATTTAAGTACAATGGTAGCTGTGTAGGGTTTTTTGTTTGCCCTTCATGAAATATTCTGATATATTAGTCTGGTTTTGGTATCAGGATAATGCAGGCCTCAAAGAACAAACTTTATATTTGTAATTTGTGTCTTCTTTGTCTTTTTTTTTAATCAGTCTGGCTAGATCTGTTTAACGTACCCTATTTTGGTTTCATTATTTTCTCTGTTTTTCTCTTTCTAATTTTATTGATTTCTGCTTCTATTATTTCCTTTCTTCTCCTTGTTTCAGGTTTATCTGCTTTCCTTTGTTCAAGATTCTTAAGGTGGAAGCATAGATTATTTCAGGAATTTCCATCTTTTCGAGAGGAAGCATATATTGGTACGAATTTCCCTCTAGGCCTTCTTTAGTTGAATTCCACAAATTTTGATAGGCTGCACTTTCATCTACATTTAGTTCTAAATGTTTCCTAGAGACTTCTTCTTTTACTCATGGGTTACTTAAGGGTGTGTCATTTAGTTTCCAAATATTTAGGTATTTTACAGATACCTTTCAGATATTATTGCTAGTGTGACTTCATTATGACAAGAAATTATTTCTTTTACATTTGCTAAGCTTTGTTTTATGACTCTGAATGTGATATAACTAGGTAACTGCTCCATATACACTTAACCAACTGGAATGTTCTATAAATATCAATCAATTCAAGTTAATTAATAGTGTTGTTTGGATCTTCAATATCTGTATTGGTTGACTGCTTACTTGTTCTATTACTGAGAAGGAGTTAAAATCTCCAAGTATATTTGTGGATATGTTTGTTTTCCCGCTGTTTCTATATTTAAGGTTAGGTTCATAGACATTTAGGATTGTTATGACTCTTAGGTGAATTAACCCTTTTAATATGATCTCCCATTTTAATCTTGGTTATTCTCCTTGCTCTACTTTCGAAGTCTACTTTTTCTGATGTTAATATCACCACTCCAACTTTGTTTCGATTGGTGCATGCATGGTATATATTTTCCCATCTTTTATTCTATATCCATGAATGAATTTAAAATGGCTTCTTTTAGATAATAGATAGTTGGTGTCTCTCTTGCTCTCGCTCTCTTTTTAATCCAATCTCTGATTTATAATTGGTGTTTGTTGTTCATTCCCATTTAGTATACTTATTGTTAGGGTTGGATCTAGGTCTACTATTTCATTTTTTAAAATTTTTTCTGCTTTTCTCTTTGCTTTTGTTTTTATTTCTCTTTTCATGATTCCTTGACTTCTTGGATTATCTACTTTTAATATTTAATATTTAACTTATCTATGGGATTTTTGGCTATATATCTTTATATCAAATTTTTATTAATTATTCCAGATATTATAATACACATACCTAATACTGTGTGTCTGTCTGAATTTTGTCCAGATTTCATAACTAATTTCTATAGAAAGGATGGTTTGTTAGCTTACACTGCTATCCCAGGAATGGAATCACATTAGTTACTTTTAAAACTTTACTTTGTTGAAAGAAAAGACATAAAAGTATATTAAGCATGTGTGAAAATAAGGTAGTCATTTAAATGAGTAGATTAAGTATATTTAAGTTTGCTGTTTCCTTAGCTAATCTTAGGTAGAGATCTACTCACTACGTTAGAATAAAATATCATCCTAGATGCCCTGGCTATTTCCAAGAGAATATGTTTGAGATGATGAAAAGTACTATTCATTATATATAATTAGACAAATTATTTATTAATCCTATAACAGTATATATAACCTTGCATCCCATAATGTATCTAGTTATGGTCACGAGTTAATTGACACACTTTATATTCTTTCCTTATTGTTGTATCAGAACAATAAATCTCTGAGGTTAGACATGAATGCTTTGTTATCCTTTTGTGGAAAGTATTTTTCCACTTCTCCTACTTTTTTGCTGAGTTATATAGCAAGTTAGAATTATCACCACTCCACTTCTGTCTTCTGGTTCCACCTCCCTGCAACAAAACGCTTTTCTGCACTTGACAAACAATTCAATTGAAACATCATTATGACAGGAAGTAAGATAAACTTGCATTCATTTTACATACTCCATCCTTACATACTGCAAATAAACTTCCCTACATTTTTTAAATTCATGTCAACATTTTACTCAGAATGAGGGTTGAGATGAAAGTTCCCATTTGCCAAATCAAGACTATTACTCGTATTGTTTTACATATGAATAATCACAGATGAAAACTTTTCAATATGCTTCTAGCTTTTCAAACTGGCATTTATCTCTGTTTAGATATTATTATATAAAAACAATCCAAATTTTTAGGGAAACACACATTGAAAAATTATACTATTATCTTCCGTGTGCCCTATCTCAAACGTTTTTTTTTCCCATTCCTTCGTCCAAATGTGTCTTCTATAATCCACCAATGAGTTTATTTTCTTCATAAAACTTTTAAAACATTAAAAATTGAAAGAGCAAGGAAAAAATGAAGAACAACTAGTGTAGAACTATATAATCACGTGCTTTCTTTTAATTTAAAATTTCCTCTTTGCACACATTCTGTTAGGAAAATAACAAGCTTTATTTTTTTTGCTAGAAAACAAGTTTAAAAGCATATATACATAAAAGGAAAAACTCATACAGAGTAGACTGTGGCTTGAGAACTATTTATGCAGCATCAGAAGACTAAACCAGACTCTGGCCTGGCCATAAACTAAACCCACGCCCCAAATGAGGTGCCAAGCCACAAAAAGCATTTGCGTCATCTGGGAATACAAGGAAAAAGAAGGACTTCTAATTATAGGGCCTGGAAGCGGAAGCCTACAGTGATTAGCTGTTTAGGCACTGCTGTATGTTTATCTGGAAGCTTCCTCTCCCTCACTCTTTGCCTCAAGTTTGATAGATGAGCATTAGTGTCAGAGGGTAGGGAGTGAAGCTGGTGATGGCACACAGCGTTCTCCAAAATCTGAGGTAGCTGGAGACTTAACATTAAGGCTTTTGTGGCCTTCTAAGAACATAAGTCTTTTCAACTGGGCATCAGCTGGTTAGCCCAAAAATCAAAATTAAAGAGTAACAAAACCTCCACTGGGCATATGCAATAAAATCTTGGAAACATGAGTAGGTTTGTCTTTTTTGCCATATCCTATTTATAACACTTATCTAATTGTATGGTTCTTTATCATGTGCACACATGTGAAATGAAACATGAACTGGCAGCTATTTACATTCTTTTCCAAGAAGTGACACAAACACTAATGTGCCGGATCAAATAGAAATCTTTAGAGGAATTCAGATTATATCACTCATAAAAGAATTTTGTATTTTGCCATTAATTCTTGTGAATGTAGCACCTTCTAATCAATACCTGTATAGATGCAAACTTATAAATCATTTAATTATTTATAGAAGTTAATAGCCAAATCTGTAAACACAAAAGAAAAAAAACAGAATCCCAGTACTGACAGAAATCTTTAACCTCCTCAGATAGCAGAAAA